GCTGGCAAATCTTTATCTTTCTTTCTTTCTCTGACTCATCTCTACGCCTGAGGGCGGAACCAAAGATCGTCCATTTCTATTACTAACCCGGACGGCTTTGAGACACACTCTTCTTCCTGACGCAAACCTAGGAAGACAACTGAGTTTCTCTCTCAGGAGAGACTCAGTTTGGCTTGTTAAGTCTAGCCTGTGAGCTAACTAGGGGAGACTTACCGGCCGGGGCCCGGCATGCCAGCCGGCTGTCCCACCCGAGGCTTCAAGCCTCTAAAGTGTGTTTTTACCTCCTGAGGGGAGATTTTATTTTGAAAAGAAGGGACCGGATGTCAGCTAGAATGTTTCTGGCTTGGAATGAAACAGACGAAAAGTTACCTGGAAAACACCTACTCGCCAAGGAACAGTAAGCGAGCCAATAAAAAGTTCCCTGACTGATCGGAGGTGAGACAGTTCCTACCAGGGGGTGCTTAAGAAGCCATCACCAGGTAAAACTGATGTGTTCGGGGTGACGTGTCATGTGGACCCCTGAGCGCAGAAGGGACGTGCTGACCCGGTTGAACCACACTTTGTTAAAGTAAAATTAGTAGAAATACTAACCTTACTTTCCTCCTTTTCTTGTCTTTATTTGCCAAAACTTAAGCTAAAAGTGCCAGTAAAATTGTTTGGTTGTTAACATCAGAACTGACGTTTTATTGTTCTATATAAGTAATCTGAGTTGATGTGAATTGAAATTCGGACGCGGGTTTTATCTCATTTAACTTTGAATACTTGTGTCTTTTTAAATGCATGTACTTTTGAAAAATTAAGTATTTTCAAAAGTAAGTGCTTCAGTGCTGTTGAAAATTAGGCAATGTTTGTTACCCTTTACCTGTTCAGATCTAACACCAGTTAATAATGACATGTGAATGTTGGAGTGAGCCATACAAAACCATTCAGACACAGCTGTGGACTGATTAGCTTTTTAAGTCAGTAGGAAACAACCCCAATAAATTTCTTCAGTACTTTAATTTAAGTAGATTTTTGACCGAGTAAATTTTAATAGTAGTTGAATAGATTTGACGAGTATCAATAATTTTACACAAGTGCTAGAGTTGAGTGTTTTGTCCACCACTGCTCACTGCATGTGAAATATACAACAGGTCTGGACCAACTGTAAATTTTTTTCATATCTGAAAAAAAATCTTACAGTACGAGAAAATTGGTGAATGAAACAAGTTCTCCTAAATGACTCGTACGCACAACTTAAGAACAAATCTGTTGGTTCTTGAATGAGGCCCAAAAGGATCAAACTGGGCCCAAGGGTAAAGACGGGTCAGTGCATAGTTCAAGTTTCAAGTTTATTTAAACACCTAATTCACATAATTCACTTAGTACATAATTCACATAGTACATAATTCACATAGTACATAATTCACATATTACATAATTCACATAGCACATAATTCACATAGTACATAATTCACATAGTACATAATTCACATAGCACATAATTCACATAGCACATAATTCACATACTGTAGTACATAATTCACATAGTACATAATTCACATAGTACATAATTCACATAGCACATAATTCACATAGCACATAATTCACATAGCACATA